CCTAAAAATGGTGTAAAAAGCATTTTTTTTTGCGTTTTTTTTTTTTTTTTTTTTTTTTTTTTGAACGCCATTAGATCTGCTCCGTTCTGAATTCGGTGGCGCCCTCCAAGCACGTAGGGCCAAAGAGCTGAGCTTGGGTTATCATCATGCAAATAAATGCTGCTTTGGGTAGAAGAGGCTTTCTTAGAGAGACAGATTGTCACGGTGCAGTTAAAGAAAATAAAAAATGAAAACAAGCAGCAGTAATACTTGAAAACCACACTCTGGAGGTTAAATTACTTTTTCCAGAGCGCACAGGTACTACTGGGCACTGAAATCCATTGCTGTACAAAACTTTAGTGAAACAGTTACTACTTTATTAAACTGCTTTTGCTTATAGTTTATTAAATGAGGTTACTTAGTGGAGGTTTTTGTTCTATACCATTCCTGTTGTTTCTATCTCAGTCAGTTTCGGCTGGATTTAAGGCTGATATATGCATCATTTAGGAGCACTACTAAAAGTTACGACTTTTCACTGTTTCTGGAAGGAAACATCGGTCTTTATCAAATCTGCGTTGGAAGGATGAAAAACTGTCACCCTGCTACACTTAATAATTTATATGTACATGTTGTTTATCTTTCCAGATACGGATTTTTTAAGAAAATATTGTTATTGTTGAAGATGTACAACCCTCATACTTTTTCATCCCAGTTTTTCTTACCGACTTTATTTGGGGAGGCTGAATTTAAATATTGCTGTACACTTGGAGAATTCAGGTGGGAGCGGTTTACAGAATAGCTTTGGCTGACATATCCTGTGATTGGATATCTACATACGGTGACACTGGCGCCAAAGACGTCGCCAAGGCCTCAATTGAACAACTTAACCTCTGGCATGAAGTGATAATGTCACCTGCTGTCACTTCTGTGAAGTGAGTACGTATTTGGGGGCAGTCCTTGCTCTTTAGGACCACACTAAAACATGTAAGCATGGTACAGGAAATATTTTTGTATATTTCACCTATGCCATTTCATATTCTTCTCAGAAGGCATGTAAATAAATCGGAGGTGTAAATGTGGTAAAGAGACTTCGGCGACTCTGACAAGTTTACACCTCGGCTTCACTGTGTTTAATTTCAGGTGTGGAGGGAAGCTGTAACACCGTAAAATTACTGTTAAGCTAAATCATCGTCGTCACTCAGTTTAATAAGACTACATTGAAGAATGAAGCTCCACTTCATAAGCTGACTGTGCAAACTGAGAGACGGGTAAAGCTGTTTTAAGTGTTAGCAAGGATCGTGGGCGGAGATAAAGTGCAAAGGACATATATGCATTAATTTCTGTTTAAGTACAACATCAGCTAAAATCACCAGAAGCGTTTAGGCCTAATAAAACGGTGAAGGTGCTGCAGGGCTAAACTCTTAATTCGTGCCAAAATATCTACTCACAATTTTACGACGGATGCAGTCCAAAGGAGAAGAACCAACTCTATTTTGACCATTGAATTGATGATTTTGTTACTTTTAATAAGTGTGATCTTTCCTGATCTCAAAGATGCATGTTGGTCATCGGTTGTAGAAAGATGGACCAAATGAAGATATTTCAAACCCTATTATTAAAAAACACACAAAAAAATATATATATAAAAAAAAAAACAAGCATGTCATGACAAAACCCTTTTTGTGTTAGCTGTGCAATATTTTGTAGGAGAAAA